GGCTTCCCCCTTGCCACCCTGCGAGACAACCTGGGCGGTGAGGAGCAGCTCTCCCCACCCTGCCCACCATACCCACTGTGGCAACTGTGCCCCAGGGAGCAGTGGTTTGGGTATGGGGGCATCGAGGAAAAGGTATATGGTGGGGCTGTGCCACCCTGAACAACCTGTCACAGCCTGTGCCCATGTGTCCTGCAGGCGGGTATGGGGTGGACTACACCACTGGGCAGATGATGAGCTTCAGCTCCGTCTTCGCAGTGATGTTCAATGGCTGCACCGGCATCATGGCAGGGTCCAACATGTCAGGTACGGGCAGGGGGTGGTGGGCTGGGTGGCACTGGGACCTGGAGTCGAGGCTGGAGGAGGGCAGGGGCTGCTGTGCCTGAAGGCACTAATGCTGCCTGCTCCTGCCCACAGGGGACCTGAAGCGCCCAAGCTACTCCATCCCACGGGGCACCATCTCTGCTGTGCTCTTCACCTACCTCGTCTACAACCTGCTGGCTTTCCTCATGTGTGCCACCTGCGACAGGTACAGCCCCCTCTCTGGGACCCTTGATGCCAGGGTCTGCCAGGTGCCAGAGCATGCTTGCCTGAGCCGAGGTGGGTGCCAGCATGTCCATGTCCCTCTCTAGGACCCTCCTGCAGAAAGACTATGGCTTCCTGCGTGACATCAGTATCTTCCCGCCACTGGTCACTGTGGGCATCTACGCTGCCACCCTCTCCGCGGCCATGAGCAACCTCATTGGGGCATCCCGCATCCTCTATGCCCTGGCCCGGGATGATCTCTTTGGTGAGTGCCCAGAGTGCGCTGGCACCCGCCAGAGCCCACCTGGCAGGTTGTCCCTGCTGGGGACCAGCCTTGGCACCAGGGAACCAGCACTCAGGGTGGGGACAGGACTCCTGGCTGGTGGCCAAGCCTGTTGGTGCCTGCCAGGTGCCCCAGACCAACCTCCCCACTCTGCCCACAGGCCGAGCGCTGGCGCTGGCCAAGAAGACGTCTGCAAGCGGGAACCCTGTGATGGCAGTGATCCTCTCCTGGCTGGTGGTGCAGGTGAGTTTGCCAGTGATGCTCCTTTCCCAGCCCTACTACGTGAAGGGGGGTTGATGCTTGGGCTGGGTGTCGAGGATGTCCCCTTGCCCCTTGGTACCCCCCTGGCTCCGGGTGTCCTGCTGCAGCTGTACCCTTCCCTCCATGAGCCTATAAAGGAAGGATAAACCACAGCGAGGGGCAGGGATTTGTGCCCACATGGCACTGCCCTTACCCTTTCCTGGCATGCTGCTGTGGCATGCCCCAAACTCAGCAGGGATGTCTTGGGCATGTGCCAGGGGTACCATCTCAGGGGAGTGCATTCACCCCGTGCTCCCCCATGCTCTCCGCAGCTGGTGCTCTTCTCCGGGAAGCTCAATACCATCGCAGGGGTTGTGACCACCTTCTTCCTCCTGGTTTACGCCACTGTCAACCTGGCCTGCCTGGCACTGGAGTGGGCATCGGCCCCCAACTTCAGGTAACTGCTGGCACAGGGAAGGGAGGCTGCACCGAGATGCTGGGCAAGGCACTCATCTGTCCATCTGTCTGTCTGCAATTCCCCTGCCATCCCTGTGCCTTCTGTAGGGCAGAGATGCTGAGCACCCCTCTCCTGAGTATTAAGGGGGGCACACACACACACACACCCCTCCCCGCCCCATCCCTCGGGAGGGAAAAAGGGCCAGGTCCCAGCGTGGCATTGGCTTGGCACAGTCCCCACGCCCTGGCACGGCTTTGCTGAGCGGGTACAGATAAATCTAGCACCATCGGGTACCACCCGCCCCCTCCCCTTAGGCTTTCCGGAGGTAATTTATAGCCTCTGCCCGCCCGGCATCCCCCAGGCAGCCTGCCAAGCGGTGATGGAGCCCACTTTCCATTAGCGCTAATTAAACTAACGGGGAAGGGGGAGGGAGGGGGATCCTGGGG